TTTGCTGTGACCTTGAAGCATGCAATTTGGTGATGACTACTGTAGCCACTTCATGTTGGTTTCCAACAAAATTCTGCCTCTCCTGCTTCCTATTCGGGTGTTCCCAGTTTGAAATATTAACTCAGAGACCGGCTATCCTGGGGTTTTATTCAGTCCCTCCAGGCAAATTCCGGGGAAATTTTGTCACGACCGCTTCTTTCCATATCCTTTTACATTAATTGTTTAATAATTATTCACGTATTCAACGTCAAATAGTTTAAGATACTGACAGTGCAGTTACATAAATCACAGATAAATAAAATAAGCGTTAGATCTGAAGTTCTGCAAAAAAAGGTCTTTGAAACACACGCACTTACTTTTTATGAATCAAAATGAACAGGGCGTGGCACTAGCATCTTACAAAAAACTTGGCTTGTAAAATCTTCATGTAGTATCTAATGACAGAGTACTACTGATTAAAAAAAGAAAATAGATAAACCGTTCTGTCTAATCTTTGACTAAACGTACAGAAAATGCTGCTACTACGTGTTACATTACGCAAAGTCGAAGTATTTCCTTATCAGTTGTAATGATATCTACACACGTGACTCCACCACACCGGCCCAGTAATGTTTATGACTTCTTCACGCTAAGTGTACAGAATGGACGCACAACGGAAAAGTCGTGTCTGTCTCCAAAATATATTTATCGGATTTCGGTAACAGACCCCATTTGAAACTGAGGTCTCTGCACTAAAATCTGTCAAGATACATCATTTTCGGTTCAAAACAGTAATTGACGATGGAATCAGGGATGATCTCGGAAACGTCGGGTATTTGTCCACAACTAACGCGGCTTTTTGCCTGAGAAGACTATCGATTTTGAGGTTATCACGACGGTGAGTACAAAGATGGTTTGGAACGGTGGTAAACATCAACCGGAGTACACGGTGCAACCACTCATTAAGACAGCTATCTACACATTCGCCACCGTGATAACTTGAAATCTCGACTGTTGTATTGGGCATAGACGTAATATCAAAACATGTAAAAATAATTTTGGACTCTGTGAAGCGTGGTACACGCAATGTGATGAACTGACGGACGCTAGATTTGAAGATTCTGATGATGGAGGCAGAAAGTACCTCTGAAACGTCGGTATACTTCTACCAGACTACATGGCGCAACAACCCAGAAGACAGCAATCTTTAGATTCACCGCCGTGAAAACATCGAATCCTAAACACTAGATCTGTATGTGCATTAAATTAAAAAGACCAATGTGAAATGCAAAAAAGAAAACGTATTTAGAAAGTGCCGTATATTTTTCCAAACTACAGAATAGTTTTCGACGTTCTGTACATTTGATCACACAAAGTTTATCAGCAGACGGAAATTTCCAGTGTTTAAAATCCATACCAGAAGTGAATCTCAAAATTTCATGTTCCTTTATTTCAACAACTTGACACTTGACATTTTGGACATGTTTAGTAATTTTCCCATCGGTCATTTAATTCCCTGATTCAGTTGCTCCAAAAAAGTTCTTCGCGAAGAGAAGCAACTATGAAGTTCCTCACTGTGTAACTTACACCATTCCCCTGCTACTTGTCCGCTTCTTATTCGATGTTTCACACAAAACATGTCCGCGACTAGAAAAAAACTCAAACACGCCAGCAAGGAATTTGGAGTCGATAATAAAACTGAAGATTAAAGAAAGAAGACATACGGCCGAAAGTTAGCATAGGAACAAAAATCTATCTACAGGCCGCAAAGTAAGACGAAGAGCAAAAATACTCTGGAAAGCGAACACGTGAACCCTGAAACTCACCAACTTGCACAATCTATAGATAACACAGTCTTCATAAGGCCAGCGCCATAGCTTAGGCAGTACCGGTGGGGATTTTTGGTGGAAGAAAAAGGCTTTGAGGGCAAGATTTTCTCCGATCTCTCCAGTTTTAATCTCTTAACACCATTCTGCCGCTGTTCAGCAACCAATCATCCGGGTGATGAACGATCGGTCCGTTAACAGCCGCATTTCCACAGTCTCGTGCTAACGTAACCACAGCCTCCATAAAATGGGTGCAACAGAAAAAGTATTTTGCAGAAATGGCTGACCTGTATCGACAAATGTATATATGTTTTAGTCGCCATGAGTACAGGAACATGAGGAGACAGCGCGCATAAAACCAACCCCGCCCCCGAGCTGCTCGTTACCTGCTTTTGTTTCACACGAGGCAGTGTGTGGGAGTAAGGCTGGCCAGTTTAATTAGGGAACCATTATATGTCCATATTCACACACAACAACTCCATTTGGATACCCGTGACTGACTTTACAGCGCATTTGTAACGTTGCGCATAAAGCTGCATAGATACGAAATGAATGAGGCCTACAATTATACGCAACTAATTAAAGAAACCATTTTCCTTTATTCTGGCGTTATTTATCTTCTAATTGTCCAAAAATTTTATATTTCGCTTAGTTACTCTACATCAGGGACCACTAACTTTGGTGAGGACAACTAGAAAGATATTTCTATTCGAAACGGGCACCATGCACTTTCATGCTCTATACCAGGAGTCAGAGACGTTTTCATTAGCGTAAGCCACAGAACACAAAATCGTGGGCAATAAACGCAACTGCACCTCTTTACCTTTAAGAGCATTCAATGGAAAACGGACATCTGACCTATTCTGTAAAGACACTTTTGTTAGCTTTCAAAGTAATCGTTAATTTTATAAAAAAGTTAGTTACTAATACAACGGTAATTGTCACATTGTTTTGTTAAATCTCATATGGTCTCAACAATGGAACAATGCACCTTTGAGCAACGATATTTTAACTCTACAGGCTTACATCCACAAAATTTGTTCGTTTCGTTAAAATTTTGTTTTTTGCAATTGTCTGCCCTTAGATGGTCAATGTTTTCCTTGGTATCAGAAATGTTGGTCGCCCTTCTCGCATAGACTAATTCCCAGATCATGTGACGGTCCGCATAAAACGGTTCCGAGGGCCGCATGCACGCCTACCCCTGCTCTATACTTCATATCTAACCTTTCCACCACTTGCACTGTCAAACTTGTAAGTTCTCTTACGTATCTAATACGAAATGTTGAAGCACTGTTTTGGGTGAAGAAGCTGAAAGGAAAAAGACAATACGGTCTTCTACTACAGGCTACCAGATAGCAAATAACAGCTTTCTCGCAACAGCAAGACGTTTAAGGTTAAGTCTGCAAATTAACTCGTTTCCTGTCAAGTGGCAAATCGTTTTGGTGCCCCTGGCCTTGGCCATGTGAGTGAAAACACGTTATCCGGTCCAAGTCACTCTTTATCCGACACGATGGCCTTCTGCAGAAAAAGATAGCATAGGTCATTGGCTGAGTTCAGGAGGAATTGTGAAATGATGTGCAGGACGTAAACAACCCACCTAATTCTGCATTCTGTAGGCAAAAATACAGCTCCAAAATCTTACAGCCTGCGACCACCAGAACAGACCTAGACGTAGTTACGAGAATAAGACAAAAGTTTTCTTTGAGAAACGGTATGCGAAGATACGCTGGCTCAGGATAATCTCCAAAGACGACGAGCTTTGATAAACATTGCGAACAACTAAACACATAGGGATCGGATGTAAATGGGACATCAATTCGGAATATTCTTCCGAAATGTTTTGGGATATGGGCGAAAAGGTTTCCCTTACACTTGAGCACCATGCCATATCGACTACTAACAGCGGGTGGTGAAATTTACTCGCCGGCCGGCCTTCTCCTGGCAACGGTTACATTTTACTGCATATAATCGTCCAATGAATACAGTTTTATATCGCGAACAAAACTTTAAGCACGCGTATGTTAAGTATTAACAAAACATATAAAACAAAAAGGAGCGGACATTATGCTACGTGAATAACGCGCTACAAAAACTGGCCTTATAATATAATATTACACTTAATCGTCCCATTTTCTTGCTGTTATACATGTGGTAATGGTAACGAAATTCAGCAGACACAAGGGACCTGGCATTCAAAGAGGCACAAAAGACAATGAATATTTTTAGGCACTCAAATGGGAGAATGGTTCATCGAAGAGTCTAGAGCTGGATACCACAGAAAACAGCACACATGAAGACAACGGCTGTCTTATGGGTTGTAGCACCGAGTAGTCTGTAGGAGTGTACCGACAATTCAGAGGTACTTTCTGCCTCCATTATCGGAATAATCGTCTTGGAGCCAGCAAGTACCTCTAAAACATCGGCAAACTACCAGACAACATGGCGCTACAACCCGGAAGACAGCCATCTTCGAACTCGAAGCCATGAGAACCTACAAACCCAAACAGAGAATGGACACCAATGTCGTGCGTGTGATTCGAAACAAGGAGAGAGAAAAATACAATTGTGAGACTTTATTTTATTGCCATGTTTAATTTTCGTTAAAATGTTAATTCAATGGAATTAAATCACAACGCGACTTGTTTCAGCTAGGGTCAATGTAGGCATACCGTTAGTTGGTGTCTAGAAATGCTGCACTTGTAAATTGTGATAGCCTGATGCATGTTATTTAGCGATGTCCTATCAACTCCTGAGATGTGAAGATAAGTAAATACGGATTTAGAACTAAGCACCCACGTCCTGTTTCATAACATATTCGCTCGGAAAAACAAACAAAAAATCTCTACTGGAAAGCTAATTTGCCGTATTTTTAACCGAATACATAAAAAACCACAACATTAACCTGCTAGACAGAAAACTGTGTCCGACATCACAAATAAAACTGGTGGAGAGACAAGCATTTTGTATACTGTTTCACAAACTCGCCTGTTTTTCCATACGAAAAGCCATGACATCAAGTTCGGTGTTCAACGGTTATTTATTTCTGAAACAAACCTGTGTATGAAGCAAATGTATACAAAATACTCAGTCCATAAGCAACTACAACTTTCATTTGGTAGATTTCAATGAATCCAGTATTTACGAAAATACACTTAGAATATACGCAAATCGCAATTTAACATGGCATAAACTTACTAGGATGTCCACAAACTTTGTTCGTACAAGCGGGTAAGTGAACAGACGGGCATCACGATAGTCTCAATTAGTGCCACCACACCTAAAATGATAAGGTAGAGTAATGCATATGAGTTTAAGCTCCTTTTTCAAGACAGTCACAGTTACACATAACTAAATATCTATTCTGACGTGCTATCACTGACCGACCACTACAACCTAAAAATATCATGTTCTGAACTACGTACACGCAAAACTTCCAAAGCATTTCCAAACCATAGACAGTTTATTTATTATTTTTGTACCAGGACGGCTACAAGATAACCAATGAAGAAATCTCCGTAAGTTGAGGTAAAAGTCTGAACGGCCTGAGATTTCAGAATTTTATCCAAGTTCAAGCCGGAAGTTTATCTTCCAACCTTCCTTTTATTCCACCCGGAATGAGGCCCGATCTATTTACAATCTTCCCTGACCAACGTTATTAGTAAGTCTACACGCTCCTTTCAACGCATACT